GGGAATTTTAAAGAATCAGTTTCAAATGGTACCACTGTCAAATCTTTTGGTGTTAAATGCTCCTCTAGACAGTTCTGTGCATAGGTTTTTGGTGTGTTTACATAATTGTTATTTTACTGCATATACAACTTTATGTCTCTTTTTTTTAATGAATCTTTTGTACTTAACATATATTCATTCTTTTTTCCATGTTAACAGTCTTAAAATGATAAAGAATAGGTTAGTTGTTACATGGGCTTTCTACTCATGACTGACTTTAAGAAACTCTAGTTTTTGGCTCTGGTTTAACATACACAGCTCTCTAATAGTTTAGTTTTCTAATGTCAGTGAAAATGAGCATATTAAGTATGTTAAAAACTCACACCTCTATATTTGTTATATATTCTATAAAACACATAGTACAAATTTGATAAGAATATTCACGTATTATGTATATATAAACATACCCACAGTAAAATAGTTGAAAGATGAAATGACATTTAATTTTTAACTCAAGTACAGATAAGAATAATATGGGTGAATATTGTTTGGTTTCCAAGAATTTTGGAAATTCTTGGTTTAACTATTTTTGAAATGGTGATTTGACTTTGATTTTTAAATGTAAAAGGCTTTTTAAAGTATATTTTAGTGGTTCTAATTAGTTATACATGACAGTAGAATGCATTTTGACATATCGTACATAAATGGAATATAACTTCTCATTCATCTGGTTGTATTTTTAAATTTTTTTAGGAGAAAAAGTTTATTTGGGGGCTCATGGTTTCAGAGGTCTCAATCCACAGACAGCAGGCTCCATTCCGTGTGGCTCAAGGTGAGGCAGGACATCATGGCTCACATGATATCAGGAAGCAGAGAGAGAGAGAGAGAGAGAGAGAGAGAGAGAGAGAGAGAGACTCCACTGGCCAGATACAAAATGTATACCCCAAAGCCACACCCCCAGTGCCTACCTCCTCCAGCCACACAGTATTAGCCTTCACTTATTACTCAGTTAATCCATTCAGGGGATTAATTCACTGATTGGGTTAAGACTCAAATCCAATAATTTCTCCTCTGAACCTTGCATTATCTCCACATGTGAGTTTTGGGGGGGGATTTACATAAAAAAGGAGAAGACCATACAAAGTTTCCATATATTTTGTATCCAATTTCTTCAATTAATCTTTTTTTTTTTTTTTTCTACTGGGGAATTAACTCAGGGATTTTTAACGGCTGAACCACATCCCCAGTCCTTTTAGTTTTTGAGACAGGGTCTCAGTAAGTTGCTTAGGGCCTTCCTTGCTAAGTTGCTGGCCTCTAACTTGGGATCTTCTGCCTCAGCCTCAGTCACTGGGGTTACAGGAATGGGCTACCATGCCCAGCTCTCAATGATATCTTAATTAGTAAGGCACATTTGTTACAATTAATGAACCAGTATCCATACATTATGTTACATTAGTTATAATAATAATTAACATTTATGGTTTATTCAGATTTCCTTTGTTTAACCTAATGTCCTTCTCTGTTCAGGATACTACTGAACAGAAATATAATAACAACATCATATTATATTAGTTGTCAGGTCTCTTTAGGCTTCTCTTGACTGAGACAGTTTCTCAGACTTTGTTGTTGATGATCTTGACAATTTTGGAGAGTACTGGTCAGGTATATTACAGGATGTCCCGCTAGTGGAATTGTCTGGTTGTTTTCCTCCATAATTTGTCTGGGTTTAATGGGTTTTGGAAGAAAAAAGCACAGAAGTACAGTTCCATTTTCATCAGATCATTTCATGATTCATCACTGACGTCAGGCCACATGGTGGCTTGGTGCCCGTAGTTAAGCATCCAGTCTTTACCAAAAGCAGAGTAGTTTTCCACAGAGGATGGTGGGGCTTATTTCACTGAGAGAGAAGTCTCCTGAAATTCTGAAGATTTTCCACACTCTGACAAGTAAATATATTACCCAAAAGTCCAGAGTGGTTGCTACTTTCTGCTTACCAGGACTAATCAGCATATCAATGTAACAGACTAATGTGAGGTTCTTTCTAAAGGGAAGGTGAAAGAGGCTGCTATGAGCTAAATTAGGGACCCAGAGTTGAGGGCCTGGGGCTGGGTTGTAGCTCAGCAGTAGAGCTCTCACCTAGCACATGTGAGACCCTGGGTTCGATCCTCTGCACCACATAAAAATAAATAAAATAAAGGGTTTAAAAAAACAAAACAACAACAAAAAAACAAACCCTGGCTATGTTCCAGGTAGCCATGAACTGGGGGAAGTGTCACTCTTCAACCCACTACAAAATCATACTCTTGGGCTGGTGTTGTGGCTCAGCATTAGAGTGCTTGCCTTGCACGTGTGAGGCGCTAGGTTCAATCCTCAGCATCACATAAAAATAAATAAATAAAATAAAGGTATTATGCCCAACTACAACCAAAAACAAAACAACAAACAACAATAACAAAATCACTCTTAAAATCTGAAAGAAATATGTGTAGCATATATATGGACATAATACTTTTATTTTTATGTGGGGCTGAGGGTTGAATCCAGTGCCTCACATGTGCTAGGTAAGTGCTCTACCATTGAGCCACAACCCCAGCCCAGTTTTTTGCATTCTTGCCGGTTGGAAGTTCATTTCTTCTGGTTGTTTTTTCCAACAGGTATCGAGGAAAAAAAAACATCTAACAGATAAATAGCTGCATACTCAGTACCAGGAGATGTATTGATTTGTTCTAGCAATAAAATCACGTTTTCAATAAAGTAGTGCACCTGTAGCAATGAGATTGAAATATGAGACTCCAGTGTCATTTTTCCAGGACTTATGTTCCAAATAGACAAGCTGTAAAGGAATGTGGCATCATCATCTCTTCAAGTCTTTGACAATCCAAGAATGTGATATTGCTTTTGGTTTACATATCGCCCAATAAGAATTTATAGTGCTGGTATATTTCTTTTCTAGGGACACAATAATCTATTAGCCAATGACCTCACTCATCCATCTCTATGAGTAAGATGACACTGTTTTGGCTCTGCTGGCCATTACAGTAACCATGCCTACTTTTTGGCAACTAAGTGCCACTCCTTGGTTGCTCCCACTCTGGGACCCCATTATCCCCACCACATTTAGGAATCCCAGTTTGATGGCTACAGTGGCAAATGCAAGATATCATTACAGAGAAAAGTAATCTTAGATATTTTCAAGAATTCTGGGGCTTCCCGAACAAATTTATTTCTCAAAATCAAGGGGAAGTAGGTCCTACATAATAACCAAACACACCCCACCTCCCTAAGCCTTTGGATACTTTCATGTAGTCTTCCTAGGCAGTTCTGGCACTTCTACTTTGTCGTGAAGGCACTTCTGGATGGATGGAGGTCACATGAACAATGGGGTTTTCATTCAGATCCTTTTCACAGTGGGCCCAGTGGGTCCCCAAGCCCATCCCATGGTTATTTTCCCAGTTTGACAAGCATAATAGGAGAAGACACACTAAGCATATAAACACACTGTTAACACTTTTTCTAACCCTTTGAGATGAAACCTCAAACCTGGAATCTCTGCTTGGTGGATCCACATAAATTAACTTGGACTAATACAATTTTATTACCTTTCTACCTTGAGCCTTACATGTTTCCTGGGGTTGCCACAAAAAAAGTACAACAAACTGGGGGGCTGACACAACAGAAATTTATTCTCTCACAGTTTGAGGCTGGAAGTCTGAAATCATATTATTAGGAGGTCCAAGCTTCTTCAGAAGGCTCTTTGGAATAAACCTTCCTTGTCTCTTAGCTTCTAGCAGTTCCCAGCATTCCTTGACTTATAGCTGCATCACTCCATTTTCTGCTCCCTTCTCTACGTGATCTTAATTCCCTCATTCTGTCTACATCATATGACTATGAGGCCTCTAAGGACACTAGTCATTAGATTTAGGGCCCATTCTAATCGAGTATGACCTTAAGTACATCTGCAAAGACCTTATTTCCAAGGAAAATCACATTGTGAGGTTCCAGATAGCCATGAATTGGGGGCGGGAGGTGTCACTCTTCAACCCAATACAAAATCACACCCTTAAAATTTGAAAGAAATATGTGTAACATTCTTTTATATGTTCTGAATTTTCTAGCATGCATATTTGTCACTTTTTCAAGTAAAAGTAAAGGAGAAACAACACCCCAGAGTTCTCTGCCCCAAAATGCAAATATTCTTTCCATATAATTTTATCCTGTGACCAACATCTCCCTAAAGTTGTCTCCCAGTCTTGATAGTCTCTGATGATGTCAGGATCAAACTCCTTAATTAACGTAACATGGCTTTTCATGATTTGGTCTTCAGCATCCTTCTTCCTGTTTCATAGTCCAATAAAATTCCCTGCGACTACCGGTTCCGTCCCAGCCTCCGGCAGGTGTCTGAGCTGTCCCTGCCACACCATCCCTCCATGCTCTGGTACTGAGTTCTTGGAATGCCCACGACTGCTACTCTGTTTCTATACTACCTCTCCAGAGATGAAACACTTCACATTTTCACTTCATCTCTGAAATCTGACCTTTGCTTTTATTCTTCTTAAATGAAAATTTCCATATGAAAGAACATAACCCAAGAACACATAGTGCTACCCTTGCGCAACCGTGTCCAGATGAACCAGTTCTCCCTCCCCGCAACCGGCCCCGGAGCCCGCCACCAGCCTGCCCCCACAGCTCAGGCCAAAGCCCGCGGGAGGCCAGGGCGAGCCGCAGCACCTCCCGGTCAGCCCGCAGCTCTGGTCCAGATTCTTCCTCTTCACCCATCACAGGTGCCTCCCTTTTGGACCTAGTGCTCGCAGCCACCGGGAAAATGAACACCAGCGACTGCACAGTGCGGGGTCAGAGCATGCGCAGGGGCCGGGGCGGTGGCTCAGCTTTCGAATGCGCACGCGCAGAGGCCGCTTCCCCAGGACGCCCCGCCTCCGGCCGCGCCCCTTCACTATGGGTCAAAGATCGCGGGGCGGGCCGCCGTGACGCGCGCGGAAGCGAGCCGGGACCTTCGGAAGCGGCCGGTAGTGCAGCGGTGGCGGCTGCGGCGGTGGCTGCCACGGAGGGGCGCCCCGGCAGCTGGGGCTCGGGATCGCTCCGAGCGCCTGAACCCCGTCCGCACCGCCTCCTCCTCCGTCGCTGCGGACGGCCGCATGAGTCGAGGGACCATGCCTCAGCCCGGAGCGTGGTCGGGCGCGAGCTGCGGCGAGACGCCGGCGCGGGAGGGCGGGAAGGCGGCGGCCGGCGGGCAGCCCCGGCCCGCGATGCGGTGCCCGGCCGAGCCGTGAGTGCGCGGGGCGAGGGCCGGGCGGCGGCGGGCCGGGTCCCCTGCGGAGGGCTGGTCTGGGCTCCTTCGGCGTCCTCACCGAGGAGGACACTCGGCCGGTGTCCGAGGACAGCCGTTTCCCGAGGGCCCTTCTCACAACCCTGGGCACCATGGTCTCCCTCCCCGCGCCCGGCCGTGGCATCTGCCCGTCTCTAAAGTTGAGGAAACTCCAGAAATTCGGGGAAACGACCCCAAGAAGCGTCTTATTACCAATTCCCCGTAGCCCTTTCCTCCAGCCCGGCGTGGGGAGGAAGTAAGGTCGCCCCCGTCCCAGCCACAGGAAGACAGCAGCGCGACACGTTTGCTCTTGGGAGGCAAGTCGCCGCTTGTCCCACCTGTTGGACAGCCTTTGGACGCAGTCTGACCCCTTGTCGTCTTACCCTGTAACGGCCTGGCTAGTTCTCCTGTCCCTTAAAACAACGCAAGTCAGTGTGGGTCTGAGCAGTTCCCTACCCAACTGTGAGAAAAATGGCAGGGGTATGGACTTGAGGCGCACTTTCTACACTGTAGAGAAGTAGGCCCATTTAAATGCCTTTGAACTTCTGAAATTGACGAAAGCACAGACAACCAATTTGATATTTTTTAATTGGCTGGGAAATTAAATTGTAAAGCATGTTTAAATGCACCTTTAGAGCTCCTGTCTTAATCGCCTACAGAGGGGGTCTTTAGAAGCCTGCTATGTAGATAATGGTATTATAGTAACTCATTTGCATAGTGTTTTACAACGTGCTTTGGAGTATCTTGTTGAGCACTCAAGTGTGACGGTAATTATTCATTTAATGGGTTAATGGTCACTGGGAAAGATTTAGGGCAAGAGGTCTCAAACTCCAGAGGTAGGCAAGTAACTTAAGTTAGTACAATTGGTCAGGAATTGTTCTTGGGGACCTGGATAGCTTATGTCTGTTTTGGGGGCTCCAGCCTATATAGTGTTAGATCTTCTGTATCTGAAGAATCCAGATATATTGGCTTTTGAGTGAAATGTCCTCATTTTTAAAAGGAGGCACTTTCTGTTTTTTCCTTTTAAATTTCAAACCACTGTAGAGACCCTTGTGGTGAGTTGATGTGGTCTGTAATTATAAGTATTCTGTTTGGGATAAAGTCCTACTCCAGACCCTGCAGAGGCTTAAGTAGGGGCTCTCTCATCTCTGCCCCTTGCCTTGGTAAGTGCTGCTGTTGCAGCAGCTGCCCACCACTAGGCTACCACCACCCTGCTTTCACTTTCCTGCTGCCCTGGGGACCCCCTCCCCCCTCAACCTTTGATGCCTTGCCTCTCAGGTGTTGTACCTCTCAGGTGTTGTTCCTCTCAGTCTTCAACTGAGCAGTGTCACACTCCCTTAGAGATGCAGAAACTTGAAAACAGACTCCTGTTTCCAAAAGTACCCATAGTTATTTGGCAGGTTTTCTGATGGATGTGGTTCTCAGAGTCAGCACCTGGGGAAATGGGCCACAGTGGGAAGGAGCTCTTCTCTGAGGAAAAGGTTAGGACACAGATGCCTCTTTCATTTCTCAGTAGACTTAAAGCTGAAAGGAATAATAATAATAATAAAAAACCTAGCATAGGTTTGTCATTATACACATTAAGAAGCAGTTATAGATTCCTTAGGTGCAGCTTGGCATTGTCAGGGCCATGGATCCCTGATGCTTTGGCAGGCATCTACCCCACCTCTTCCTGGCTTCCTTAGCAAAACCATGCAGAGGTACATGATTATAATGACAGCAAGCTTCAGCCCCGATTCCCCCAGAATAGATGTTCTGGTTTGTGTTTTCATTAGCATCTTAATATCTTTTTTTCTCTTTGCTTTTTGTTGCCTTTTATTATCTCATTCCCGTTTAACTCATCACTGGGAGAAATAGGGAGGTGAGTATAACTTTCAGATGTCAACTTTTGAACATCTTAAATTTTTGGACTTTCTATACTGTTTCATCTTTCTGAATCAGCAGTATGTAGACTTGCATGTAAATTCCTACTTGATAAATAGTTCCAGTGTAAACTTAGCATAGGGCCCTTTTAAAATCTTTTTGGTCATTGGAACCAAGCCTTTTCTTTCCACTCAGATAAGTCAAAGTGTTTGCACTGGGAACTAATAAATATAATAAACTTGCAAATGTTTTGAGATATTCCATGGAATCATTTTTAGCATATTTAGTGAAAAGTAGTTATGAATACAATTCATGACCCACCATCTACAGCTGATTTATATATTTAGGATATGACTCTTTGGAGGGTGTGAGAGATGGCTCATTTCCTAGCAGCATAGGTAACTTTTCCAATAAGCTCACTTCATTTCACAAGGGTGAGAGGTGGGCATGTAAACCGCATGAATAAGCTGCTTTCTAAATGTCATTGCAATTTTTCTTTTTCTTTTTTGAAAATTGACTCTTTTGAGAGCTGTTGGTTGGCATCTCCTGGACAACCCCCAAGATGGCTCAGAGGGTACTTTAGGGTTCCATTTGAAGAGGTCTTCAATAGTCTCTTAGACCATTAATGGACTTTCTGGAAGTTCCTACTGCTCTCATTAGCCAGGTCTCTGTTCTTTCTCCTGCTTATCCCACCACCAACATTTGATTCTTGTGTCTGCCTCTTGCTCTTAGCTCAGGTAAGCCACACTGTGGTTCTTGAGAACATGGTTGATATCCAGACCAGAAATGTTTAGGGAATTGAGAACAGAGACTACTCCATGTCCCTTCTTAAGTTGTGTGAGTGTGGGACAGGGTTCGAATCAGGGATTCATGGGCTGGCTATGTTGAGAAGCATACTGTCTGTGAAGCCCTATGAAATCGAAGGCAAAATTTGTGAATGTTTCTGGCCCAAGGTTTCAGTTACAACTAGATTCTTAAAGGGGCTGTGAGCTCTGCTTCCCCACCACCAAGTATTAAACCGTTGGTCTGTTTTCTCCTTTCACCTTGTGTGGGTGGAATGAGGTAAGTGTGGTAGGGTAACAACTATCACCTCTCACTCCCTCCACCTAATGAAGAGTCTGCTTTAGGGATCAGAGCTAGGATGTCTCTAAGAATCAAAACTCATTGTTGAGGGTGGCTGCTTTGTCCTCATATGCCTTTGGAAGTCACACAGGACAGCTTGAGCCTGTCATGGGAAGTCCACTTGCAGAAGAGGGGTGGAATTTTGGCCTGGGTGCTGGTACTTCCCTGTATTTGATGTGATGGTCACCCTTTTCTGCAACCACTAAGTGGTGGAAAAAGGTTGGTTTAAGTGGCCTTTGCTTCTCCTGTGCCTGTGTGGGAAGGTATGTCACATTGGTTGGCTATGTTTCACTACCCGACCCTTTAGTCTAGGACAGGCCAAGTTAATGCAGGACTGGAATTCAGAGGGCTGAACAAAGCTAAACTCAGTTCTTTTAGATAACCAAGGCATCTTGATGCAAAGGTTCATACTGGTGAGTGATTAGGATTCTGTCTTAGTAGCTTTGTGTAGACTTTAGAGTTGTTTTCATGTTACATGTTTACTTGAATCAAATTGAAAAATTGGCTCTACAGGATTGTCTTTTGCTTCACTGAGCTCTGCTTTTAATTTGCAGGTTTTCTTGGAACTAGTATAATTTTGACTTTATAATAGTGAGCATTATAAAATAAGTCTTCAAAAGTTTGTGTGGTGGTCTTTGAACAGAGCAAGAGCAGTTATAATTTAGTATGCATTGCCATGTAGCTTACTCAATTTGGTATATTGCCTTAATAGTAAGAATAAGATATTTAGCTTACTAGAAAATTTGCAAATTCTGTTTAATGGGAACTTTAAAAAATATAATGTCATGATGCTATACTCAGAATTTTCTAACTAGGAATTATTAGTATTTGGTTTTAAAATTTAATCTAACAATGTAATTGTGACTTGCAAGCCAGGAAATTCGGGTCATCTAAGACTTTTATCTTACTTTCCTCTACCACTTTTCCAACTATGTTTTCTAAAAGAAAACTTTTTGTTGTGATCATCTGAATCTTTAGGCTTCATTGGCCTCTTTTCTGCCATGGTGGATACCTCCCCACCCCCACCCCAATACTTATGCAAAAAAAAAAAAAAAATCTGCCAGATTTCTGAAACTGTTTAGCATTTATGAATTTATCTTATCTTGTTGTATCCCTTTTCCTTTCATTGCTTCACTGTCTTTCCTTCCTATAACACAAATTCAAACTAAACCTCTATTTCAGATTTCCAGCTTTAAATATAATTTTATTTTGCCATTATTTTCAGCTTTAATATTTTGATACTTAAATTAAAGCAAAAGTTTGAATTAAGTATTTTTAAAATTAGTTTTATCTTCCATTCTTGTTAGCCTTATATTAGATGGGTAATTACTTCATTATGGCTGTTGAATTCCTTCCTTTCTGTTGATTGGATTTTATTACTTGAATTTAAAAGTTATCCTTTTTTTGCTGGGCATGATAGGGCACACCTGTAATCCCAGTGGTTTGGGAGCCTGAGGCAGGAAGATCACAAGTTCAAATCCAGCCTCAGCAGTTTAGTGAGGCCCTAATCAACTTAATGAAACCCTGTCTCAAAATAAAACATGAAAAGGGCTGGGGATGTGGTTCAGTGGTTAGGCACCCCCGGATTCAATTCCTGATACCAAAAACAACAATAACAAAAAAACCTTATTTTTTCTCCAAGGAGATAAAACTTTGGGATTTTTTAAAGACTATATTACAATTTCCATACTGTTTGGTGACCAAGGAAGTTAGCTATATTCCTACACAGGGTCTGAGTTAAATCCAGTTGTGGCTAAAATAATTTGCATATACTCTGGGCCTTGTATTCATCAGTTTTTGATTTGCTTCTTTTGAATACTGTGTCCCGAATCACTGTTTTTTGTTTCTAAAAATCTCCCTTTCTGTACTGTCTTCTCTTTGCATTTAGTTATCCTGTTCTGTTTCCTTTCATTTTCTTCCTGTTGGCCTTTGTAGGAATTGTTGGGGTGTACAGTAAGGTGCTTGTTTAGAAAATCTCCTCTGGGCACTGATGTCTGATTACATTTTTTGTTATTTTGTAGATTAAAAAGGAGGAGGACCAAAGCAGAGCCAGATGTGTGTGCAGATTAGCCACAGAACTTGTTTGAAGTCTGTAGAAGGAAGACCTAGAAGAGGAATCATGTTGATTTTATAGCTCTCCTCTAGTCTTTCATTTTGAAGATGAGAAAATTAGGGCAAGATTGGGGAAGTGCCTTCCCCGAAGACATATTTCTGATAATGATATTTAGAAAGTGATTCACTTAAATGATTCTTCCAGAGGATCAGAGTTTCTCTTTTATCAGAGTTTCTCTGATACAACTAGCAAGGAGGCAGAAAAATGTTAAATTTTCAAGAAAAGAATGAACACGATTGGTCATTTTTGTGTTTTAGATCTTGTGAATCAGGTTTCTGTTTGCTTTTAACTCTGGCATAGGCTCCAGAAGTGATGTTACATTTTTCTCTTGAAATTTCACTGGAGTCAGAATACAAGGAAAGTACCCTTTCCATAATATTTGTTCCCTCACCCTCAAAACCTTAAACAACACACACATACACACATTTATTTGGAGAGGAAAAAAATGGAATAAAAAAATGATCATTGGGCAAATTGCTTATTAATATTCTGCACCAGTGAATGTATGAGAATTAATAAGAATAGCTAACTTTTTTGAGTACTAATTATTTTACATGTTTTTACTCCTCACAATAGTCCTTTGAAGTGAATTCTCTTACTATCCTTTTTTATAGGAGGTTAAACTTGGACAGTAAGAGGTGAAGTTACCACAGTAATCACTGTACATACGGATGGAGTGAAGGGCGGTTAAACTTGTGACAGTCTGATTCCTAGGTCCCCACTCCATCCATTGCTCTCTGCAGAAGGCTTACATGGCTAAGAGGCAGGTCAGGAGTATGAATTGTTCAAGAAGAGAGAACCCCTGGAGCAGATCATAGGTTTAAAAGTGCAGGGTGCAGGCTGAGGTTGTGGCTCAGTGGCAGAGTGCTTGCCTAGATTGTGTGAGGCACTGGGTTTGATTCTCAGCACCACATACAAATAAATAAAAAATAAAGGTCCATCAACAACTATTAAAAAAAAAAAGTGCAGGAAAGTTGCAGGTGTTGGTCAAGTGTTTGGAGTGAAGGGAGCATAGTGCCTAGTAGGGTAATGGAGTCCACGCTAGAATAGAGTGGAGGATGAAGTGTGGATTTTGACATTGTCCCCCCAGTGTTTGAGAACCATTGAATGATTTCAGCAGAGGCAGTTAGACTCCCACTTCTTTCCACCTCTCCTAGCATTTCTTCTTTCTCTCTCTGGCCCTCTTTTCCCCTCAGCTGTTCTAGGTGGTCGGGGCATCTTAGTCATTCACTTACATTTTTTAGCCTCCTTCCTGCCTTTCATTGTGCCTGGAATGCTGCCTGCCATCGGCTTGTGTGGGGATGGCATGTTCTATGGTTGTGAGGAAGTTGGGGGGTCTGAGTGTTCCTTATGTGAGTGTCAGCCAGTCTCCTTGTTTTTAGCTTAGTGTGTTCTCCATACCCTCAGAAGGACTTTAGGGACTGCAGTTTCAGAGTTTTTCTGGGGTTCTGTCCTGTTTACTAGCTTGCTTTCCACAGATATCCCTCCACCAGCCTTGGGCTTCCTTGCCAGGGTCACTTACCAATCTGCTTTTCAACACTTTGGGCTTTCACATGTCTTCTGCTTTCAGCAAAGATGGGGTTGGTGTTTCTATATCCTTTGTCTTTTTGGGTGTTCAGCTGAGAATCTTGAGGGAGATAGCGGACATCAAACCAGGGGTCTTCATTTTTCTATTATGTTCTTCATTTTTTCTAGTACCTAGTGGAATTATGTCCCTTTCTAGTACTTAGTAGATTCTTTTAGTTTACCATAGAGACTAGAGACACTTCAGGAAGCTGTTATGTGAGTAAAAAGTCCATAGTAGAAATAGTGAAATGAAAGCATGTGGAACACTACAGAACGTAGGTGGCTGTTTGAATGTGGGAGTTAGGGAGCAGGAGGAACCTCAAGGGGGATTGTTAGCTTTGAAGATTTGTAATTGATGTTCTCCTATCACTAGTTTTAGAGTAGCTATTGTTATATTTGCTTGTGACATGTTACAAAGGTTGGTAATTCGCCTGCATGCTTATATTAGCACTCTTCCCATCCTAAGAACTTGAGAGAATCATTTTGAAAGCTTCACTGATAAGATGCATGCTAAGATGCCTAGATGTACATCTGAGACATTAATAGACATTAATTGAAATGGCCTTAGGACCATGTTGCTGGTGAGTGATGTACATTATAAGAAATTCTGAAGTAGAAGACAGTGGTGAGATAGAAACATGAGCATCTAAGATATAGAACCCATATTTGATCAGATTGCTACTATGTAATGTGAGAAGAGTTAAGCTTTTAGTGTCCCATGCATTTTGTAAGCAGCTGTAGGTTGTGATACATCAGAATACATCAGTGCAACAAGTGTTTTGAAAATGTCTACTTTGGTGTGATTTCAGCGAGGAGGACATGTACCGTGCTGCAGATGAAATAGAGAAGGAGAAAGAATTGCTTATACATGAAAGAGGGGCATCAGGTATGTTTGGAATTGTTTTATTTATTAGAGTCCTTACTGTTTATACTAGAACATGCAGTTAAATTGGTATAGCCATATTCATAAAATCTGGACATGCACTTCCTAGGAAGTATTCTTACAAGTATGGTCTTACGTACACTGATTATTGTTGAGGTATGTATGTTTAGGGAAGACTGTTTCCTGAGGTTTCAAAATTTCAATGCACGTATTCTCTCTGCATTCTTTACATTCATGTCATTTTTTTGTTCCTGTAGAGGATTATTTTAATCTCCTGAAACTACCTTCTCTTTTTTATTTCATTACATTCCTAGGAGAGTTTGACTTTGAAATGGATTTTTCATTTCTAGTTGAAGCTAGCTGTGCACATCTTTGCATGCAGATGGCCATGTAAATCTGACTGACTAAAAAGAATGGTTACTGAATAAATAGTGCTAACTCTCTTGTTTTGTGATTTCACATCATCCATGCTTCTTATCTATCAGGCCTGCTCTTTTAACCTTCACTAGGGCCCTTTCCAAGGGAGAGATGCTTCTCCTAGCCCCTTTCACTGGTCCATGGAGACTTGGCCTGCAGGGCTGTAAGAGAAGTAGATCCTGTGCCAGCAGGCCTCATACAGAAGCCAAGTGGGGATACTCCTCAGATAATTCACAAGTGGCATTTTCTCTTTCATTACCTGTGCAATTCAGGTGTTCTATTGGTTTGTTTTGAGAACTGGCTTCTGCTTATTTTATGGTTAACAAAGCATTATCATTGTAATTAGGAACAAATGATACACAGTAGGGTTATTTTAAAATTGTTGCATTATAATTATCCATAATGGGATTTGATGTTACATATTTTTACATGCACTCAATATAATTTGGTCATATGGTTCCCTAGTATCTCTTTTTTTCCCTCTCTTTCTCCTCTTCCCTGGTTCTTTTCCCTACTGTACTGGTTTTCCTTCTGTTTTCATGAGAACCCCTCCCCCCTTTTCCTATTTGTTTCTCTCTAGCTTCCAAATATGAGAGAAAACATGGATTCTTGACTTTCTGAGTTTGGCTTAGTTTGGTGTCAAGTTTGCATTTTCCTGAAAATGACATAATTTCATTCTTCTTTATGGCTGAGTAAAATTCCATTGTGTATATATACCACATTTTTTTTATTCATTCATCTGTTAATGGACACCTAAGATGGTTCCTTAATTTGCCTATTGTGAATTGTGCGTCTATAAACATGAGTATGCATGTATCGCTCTAGTATGCTGATTTCCATTTTTTTTTTTTTTAGGATAAATATCAAGGAGTGGTACAGCTGAGTCATGATGGTTTCATGATTCCAGTCCTAGTCTTTTGAGAACCTCCATGCTGATTTCCATGGTGGCTGTACTTATTTATAATCTTACCAATAATATAAAAGTGTTCCTTTTCCATTACATTCTCCCCAGCACTTATTGCTTGTATTATTTGTGTGTGTGTGTTTGTGTTTTGTGGTGCTGGGGATTGAATCCAGGGGTCCTGTACCTCTAAGCTACATTTTTCCCTTTTTAAAAATTATATATTTAGGACAGGGTTTTGCTAAGTTGCTGAGGTTGGCCTCTAATTTGCATCCTTATCCCTCAGCCCCCCCTAGTCACTGGGACTATGCTGATGTTTGTGTTCTTTGTGACTACAATTCTAACTGGAAAGAGATGATATGTCAGTGTACTTTTGATTTGCATTTTCCTAATGGCTAGATGTTGAACATTTTTTTCATGTATTTGTTGACTGTTTCTTCTTTTAAGAAGTATATAGTTAGTTAATTTGCCCACCTATTGATTGGATTTTTTTTTTTTTTAAATGATGCTGTTTGAGTTCTTTATATATTCTGGATAAAATCCTCAGAAGAATAGCTGGCAAAGACCTTCTCACATTCTGTAGGTTCTCTGTTGACTCTCTTTTTTTTTTTTTTAATTTTTTTTGGTTGTTGATAGACCTTTATTTTATTTATTTGTATGTGGGCAGAGAATTGAACCCAGTACCTCACACATGCCAGGCGAATGCGCTACCGCTGAGCCCCAGCCCCAGCCCCTCCGTTGACACTCTTAATTGTTCCTTTTACTGTGCAGAAGCTTTAATTTGATGCCATCCCATATATTAATTCTTGGTATTATTTTCTGAGCTTTAGAAGTTTTATTGAGGAAGTCATTGCCTGTACCTGTGTGTTGTTGTGTTGACCCTGCATTTTCTTCTAGCAGTTGCATAGTTTCTGTTCTAATTCTTAGGCATTTGACCCATTTTGAGTTGACTTTTGTGCAGGGTGAGAGATGGGGATCACGTCTCATTCTTCTACATGTGGATAACCAGTTTTCCCAGCATCATTTGTTAAAAAGGCTGTCTTTTTTACTGACATATGCTTTTGGTGCCTTTGTCAAGCATTCTGTGACTCTATCTGTGTGGGTTTGTCTCTGTGTCTTCTATTCTGTACCATTGGTCTGTATATCTGTTTTTAATGTCAGTACCATGCAGTTTTTGTTACTATAGCTCTGTAGTATAATTTGAATTTGGGGATTGTGATGCCTTCAGCAATTTTTTTTTTTTTTTTTTGCTTAGAATTGCTTTGGCTGTTTGGGGTCTTTTATTCTTCCAAATGAATTTTAGGACTGTTTTTTATAGTTCAGTGAAGAACATCATTGGTATTTTGATGGGGATTGCACTGAATCTAAATATTGCTTTTGGTAATATGACCATTTAAATAGTATTTATTCTGCCTATCCATGAACATGGGAGGTTTTCCCATCTCCCAGTGTTTTCTTCACTTTCTTTCTATAGAGCTCTATAATTTTTATTGTAGAGATATTTTACCTCCTTGGTTAGATTTATTTTAATTATTTTATTTTGTTTTGAGACTGTACACAGTAGGGTTTTTGATAATTTCTGAGTCTTCCTCCTAAGAAGTTGGTGACTCTTCCCTGTAGTCAAAGGAGATGTTTTTTGAAGTGGTCCTGACTTGTTCTTGGTACTCATAAGACTTCAGAGGATGGATGCAGAGTCCTTTTAGCCATATTTTTAAGGAAGATGCATATTCAGCTAGTGTTTTCTCTTCCCCTTTCCAGGTTCTTTCTGTTATTGTTCTCCACACAGTCATTCAAGCTTTTTAGTGGGTCTTGTAACTTCCAGCTTTAGTCTGGGAGTAAAATGGATCCCTTTATACTCCTTGCATCTCAGTTCTTCGGAGTTCATTGCCCTTCCTGAAATAACATCCTTCTGTAGTGCTTCCTCTCCTGAAGCAAAGCCCAGACTGAGCCAGAAAGTTTTCTTGTCCTCTCCTTTTCTGTTGAAAACTCTTCACCTGGTAAAGGGCTCAGCAAATTGTGGCTCACAGCTCAAACCTGACCTGCTATATGGTTTTTTTTTTTTTTTTTTTACTATCTGGTTTTATAATGAAGTTTTATTGAAAGTTTTTAGTGAACCTATTGCTTTTGTATCTTTCATGCATGGTGAAGTTGTGTTGTACTGACAGAGACGTTATGGTCCTTAAAGCCTGGGTTACTTCCTTTCTGACTCATTCCAGAAAAACTTGGATATTCCTGTCCTAGTCCATGCTGAGAGTCCCAGCTGCCTGGAGGTGTTTCAGTATTAACTTCTTACCTTCTGAGTGTCTGAGTCTTATATTTGTCACTCATGTGGTAGTTGAGGAGAAGACTTGCCACTCTGGTTTTCAGCTTTCCTTGTTTTTATTTGTTGCCATTAGAAATGTTCTTTCCTAGAAACAACAATCATAGTCTGTACAGTTTGCAGGTAAAGAAAGGGAGTATGGTACTCAGTGAGCTGCTTGAGGTCTGGCACTGCCTTGTCCTTGCCTCCAGGAGGCTCCTGGCCTAGTACATGGCATGAAGCAGCAGTTGGAAGTCCCCGCCCCTCAAGAGAACAATAGCCAAATGGGAATTCAGGTAACATTTTGGTGCTGCCAACAGTGCAGGTACCCCATTTTCCCAACCCTCACTCCCCATGAAATCCTGTATTGACATCAGATGGCTTGGTCTGCTCGCTTCAGTCCTGAGGTGGTAGGCCTGCCCCACTTGCCCAGAGGGCCAGGTCTTGTCTTTGTGTGGGATTGAGGACAGCAATGGGGAGAGCAGGAAGGGAGACTGCCTAGGAGTGTGCACTCTGTTCAGGCTAATAACCCTGCCAGGCGGGAGCATAAGGCCTAGAAAGTACCCCGGCTCTACATTTATAGTTCTTGTTTTTTGGGAAGGTGAGTGGAAAGACAGATGCATGAATTTAAAAGATGAAGCGTCTTTGCTAAGGATTGACTGTGCAGCACTGGTGTTGGTTGTCTACAGATATTATAACTAAGGGGTCTGTTTTACTTTTTGAGCTAATCCTGGCATGTGCTACAGTTAACCATATCTGTTTATGTGAATAAATATAATTTCCCTTTTTATGTAAAATAATTTTCTTTATAGAAGGATTCACAATGAGATTTTAAAAATAGGCAGTTTTTAAAGTTTACTTTAAAAAAATTGTTTTACTTAAACTATAGGGGGGATGCTCCTTGATCATCTTGGTACCATCACACTCTGGCTTGTAAATGCCTGTGGTCTTTTCTTCTTCAGTAGTCTGTAAATCTGTTCAGGGTAGAACTTCTGTCTTTATTGCCTTTATATAGACAGTTCCTAGCTTGGTGCTTGGTACATGCTAGACACCTAGTGAATTGAGTTGAATGAAACAATTTTAATTTTTATGCAAAACTTCCTCAGGAGTAAAAATGTTTTGAGGTACTTGTGGGTTTATGTCCTAAAATCATCATTAATATCTTCAATAACTTAAAAAGAAAGTCAAGATGTACCTGAGAATTCCCCTCATTTTCTTCCTGAAAAATACATATTAACATATGCATACTCATACACCACAAACTCAAACCCCAAACTTTTTATGTTAAGGAAAATCTAAAGACTTTTTTTTTTAAACTTTTAACATTTGTATGATCATGAATTATATTTTTAATTTTTGGGAATGTGTAATTAGTCAAATGAGGTCTATGAATCAACTAATGGTGAGAGTTCCATTGTCTGGTTTATTGTCAACAAATAATAGCCTTTTGGGATCAGGGCAGGGTATAAATAAATACAGATAGTTAAGTGATATTTTTGTTGTAGTATGTTATCTTTTTGCATAATGGATATAAAAAACAGGGCTGGGGCTGTGGCCCAGTGGTAGAGCGCTTGCCTCGCATCAGTGAGGCACTGGGTTTGATCCTCAGCACCACATAAAAATAAACAATGATATTGTGTTCATCTACAACTAAAAAAATATTTTAAAAAAGATGGAATCAGGGGCTGGGGTTGTGGCTCAGCAGTAGAGCGCTTGCCTAGCACATGCAAGGCCCTGGGTTCCATCCTCAGCATCACATAAAAATAAATAATTAATTTTTAAAAAGAACCTTAAAAAATGGAATCAGTAAAATTATTTTTTTATAGTTCAGACTGTTGTCTTTGATTAGAACAATATTCACAGACCCCTGTGGGTCAGTGCAGTTTCAAGTGCTGAGGACACAGCTGGGAAGCAAAACAAAGCCCCTGCCTTCAAGGAGCTCATGTTCTACTGTGGATAGGTGTATGTGGGGACACAGAAAAAGAAATATGTCAGGAGTTAATATTTCTAAGAAGAAAACCAAAATGATTTTAGAGAATATAGAGCAAAGGGCTGTGATATTCTGATACAGGGCATCAGATAACCCTGGACACCTGCATAGAAAGGAGTGGGCAGCCCTGAGGGATAGGGCACAGCTTTCCGGAAGAGTATTAGGGGAGGTTGTAGGGTGAGGCAGGAGCAGAGTCAGTTGGGGGAATGGAGGAAGCTGAGGCCAGAGAGGCAGTCAGGAGGGTGACTCCTTACTTAAGTGAGGAGTGAGATGGGGCCCCTGGAGCTCTCTGAGCTCGAGTGAGGTCATCTCCCCGTAAGTGGAGAGTGGTCCAGAGTTGTGGTGACAAGGGAGAACCATCGAGAGACCTCCATGGCTAACTAGGGGTGAGGTGATGGTGGTCTGGACTAGGTGGGTAGGCACTAGTAGAATTCTGGATTTTGAAAATGAAGTGAGAAAGTGAGCAAGGAAGGGTGACCCCCAAGTAATTCAGTATTTGAATTATGCTTTGGTTTGCTACTTTTTTTCTTTTTGATTTTTTTAACAGAACCCAGATTAAGTGTGGCTCCTGAAATGGATATCATGGACTACTGCAAAAAAGAATGGAGGGGAAATACACAGAAAGCAACCTGTATGAAAAAGGTACAGCAGAGATGCCCATATTTCAGGCCTTTTAAATAGTCTCTCATAAATTATGTCATTTTATATTTTTAGACATTCATTAAGACAACTGCTATTAGACTTGGTAAATACTGGTGTTCTAATTTTAGAAATGAGGAACCAGACTCCATGGATAGCACCTTGTTTGGAGTCACAATATTATTATAGAACATGCATCACTTATTCAGTAACTTAATTTCTTTGAAAAACTCTTAAATGACTGTGTTACTCAGATTTGGGTGAGTTTTAGGGCCATTTGAGAATACCCTTATTATAAGCCTGGTGTTGTAAAAGCCTTAAGGATAAGGGCAGGCTAATTCCATACCCTTTGGGTCTGGTCAGATGCTCTCTAATCCTAGGGGCCTAGAAACCTCTTGTATACCTTGAAATAGAGGATCTGGAGTAGTTTCCTTCATTAGTGTTTCCCAGGAGCTGCCCCTTCTTAGTTCCATTGCATAAACTGGCAACCTTAACGTATTCTTCAAAACTATGGGACTGATCTTGGGGACTCTAACATTCTTTATTAGGTCAAACCATGTGGAATTATTACTACTATTTGACGATGAGCTACAAAAACAGCAGTGTCAGCCAGGCGCCTTGGTGCATGCTTGTAATTCCAGCGGTTCAGGAGGCTGAGGTAGGAGGATTGTGAGTTCAAAGCCAGCCTCAGCAACAGCAAGGTACTAAGCAACTCAGTGAGACCCTGTCTCTAAATAAAATATAAAAATAGGGCTGGCAATGTGGCTCAGTGGTTGAGTGCCCGAGTTCAATCTCTGGTACCACCTAAAATTGGGATTTAGGTGTCCACCTAAAATTGGGATTGTTTACGTTATAAATTCAAATGTACTTCTTGTGTATTAGGGGTATGAATCCTATTCTATTTGATAGAAATGTCTTAATTTTTTTGTTCAGAACTTCCTTGTTTAGAATTTAAATTTTTAAGCATATGAATACATTTATTCTTTTCCTTATAGCTTCTTTTTCTAGAAATATTGCTCATCTTTAAGTATGCCCCCTTTTGCTTAGGGGCTTTTAGTCAAATGTGGCTGCCACTCATAAACCTCTGAGAGCAAATGGTGAGCCCTGCTTCTTTCAAGTCTGGTACAGACTCTGGTGTTTTAGATACTTATTAGTGTCCTCAATCACAAAATATTCAGGGCTCTCAATTCATGCCCAGGTTAAAAATATGTATACTATATTTGCCCTGTACCAGACTAGATAACCAAAAAACTAGATATCTAAACTATATTTTCGCATCTTTCCCAGAAATGTCTCTGACTCGTAATTTTATTTTGTGACTTCAGTCTCTCCATAGGGTCTCTTTAAATAGTTATCATCTTAAAGTCCATTATTAAAGATGTTCGAGTTACCCAAATATTCCATATTTTGGAACTTGTACTAAAATTATTTCTCTATGGGATTAATTCTAGGGAAAGAAAAGATTTGATTTCTGACCTCGTTTGAGGAACATCTCATCAGGACTTGTGGCTTAATTAGAGCATGGTAACTAGGGTGCCTGGCAATACTTTGGTCTCAATTTTATTTTAGTTCTTATTTGCTTAATTGTCTAACTTTTCGTTTGGATACTTTGGATATAAATGTGTATAAATCTAAATTTAATTTTAAAAGTTTGATTCTTCTCTAAAATACTGTGATTTTCTGTGCTTTTGGGAAGGTACGGTTGCAATTGCATCTGCCATGGTAAATATTCCTGGGATAATTGGGGGTCTGTCAGAGGGAACTGGTGCATATTGGTAGATGTGAGTCGGCCTGATGGTTTTTATATGTTGTACTGGTTGGATCACTAAGTACAAATGCAACTTTCAAATTTTCATTATTGGAAAGAAGTCCTTTCATTTTCACATAGAATGGCATCCTAAAACACAAACTTTGAAAACAACTACTAGAAAGGTTCTAGTTCTTAGACACCCAAAATGAGGGGTCTGCATTATGCCTGCTCCAGTGTGATACCTCTTTCTTTGTGTAAACGCAGGGTAGCAAGTAGAGTTTCAAGTGACTGTCAAGAACAGGACAAGTGAAGGGGCTGACTGGACTTGGGGTCAGCAGAGTCAGTCCTGGTGATAACAGTGTTCAGCTGAAGAAATCAGGACCTCATGTAAGCCTATAGACCTAGTCACCAGGACTTTTTGAAATACGCTTCAAAATGGTTTATTTGGATGGCTATTTTTGAGTGCCCAAGCATGGCACTGAACATTTTCATTTCCTTGTTTTATTTTCAGACGGAGCAAGAGTGACACTTCAGTTTACTTGGGGAAAAAAAAAAAAAGGTCTCGGGCTGGGGTTGTAGCTCAGTGGTAGAGCACTTGCCTTGTATGTGTGAGGCACTGGGTTTGATCCTCAGCACCACATAAAAATAAATAATAAAGATATTGTGTCCAGAATAAAAAAGGTCTATCAGATTATTCAGACATTTCCTAGCATGTAGATTTTTACACACACATTCATACACAGTCATGCACCCCATAACAATGTATTGATCAACAACAGACCACATATATAATTATGATCCTGCAGGATTATAAAAGAGAAGAAATTAATATGAAGGAAAAATTCACCTCACCCATTGATGTATCTGTGGTATATGGCGATACACTGCATTACTCAGATGTTTCGTGATGCTGATATCAACTAACCTAGTGTACTGCCAGCCATATGAAAGTATTACACATACATTTGGGTATACTACAAAATACTTGATAATGGTAATTTGTGACAGTTACTGTTTGACATATTTATTTTATTATTTGCTATACTTTTGATCATTAATATTTAGAGTGTTTACCATAAAACAGTTTGCCATGTTATGACAAAAGCAGCCTCATATTTTTCATGTTTACTGACTCTACATTGCCTCATTTACTCCTGTGCTTAATTTAATCTCATCATGGCGTTTAAGCATACAGAATCCACCGCTAATGTTGCCAGTAAGAGGCCGTATAGCCTAGATGTGTAGTGGGCTATACTGTCAAGGTTTGTGCAAGTATATATGATGCCTGCATAGAGATAAAGTTGCCTAGTGGTGCATTTCTCAGAATGTCTTCCCATCATTAAGTGACAGTAATAAGAAGGAATTTTAATGTCTCACAAAGGATTTAGCCAGTCTTGTTTTCATTTTTCCAGTGATCTGGAATAGGATAATTTTTTTCCCCACAGGAATGGAACTCTTCATGCTCTCTGAAGCCAGTGACCACCATTTAAAATTCTTTGATACTTTCTCCCAGGGCTATGAGGAGGTTTCTCAGAAATTCACCTCCATAAGGCGAGTCCGTGGTGATAATTACTGTGCACTGAGGGCCACACTGTTCCAGGCAATGAGCCAGCTGGCTGCGCTTCCCCTCTGGCTGCAGGATCCGGAGCTCACGCTGGTACGCTGCTGCTACAGGTTTGAGTCTGCAGTGTTTCAGAGAGTTTTTGGGAGACTTCCCTTTGTTGCTCATGCTATCTGCTGGTGTCTGTAGGATGGCATCAGCATGTGGGTTTATTCAAGTTTTTGTGTCGGGTATGATTTCACATAGTAAAATAAACAGAAATAATTGGTATCTCCCAGAAGAGAAAATGATAAAAGTTAATTTAAACAATTCAGCTGAATTAGAAAACAGATGTTTAGATTGCATAAAAATCACTTAGGAACAGTTTAATTTCAGTATTGATGTTTATATTACATGGGCTGTATATTTTACTAATTGAGAACCTACCAGGGTTTTAGAATACACATTTCTTTCATTTTAGCTGCAGTTCAAGGAATAGTACTCTCTGCATGGTGATATGGTTAATATCACATGGGGAGAAGCTCCCAGGCTTGGCCTTCTTTAGTATTTTAAATCTTCTACATGATAGAGATATACTGGGATCCAAGGGTTCGTGTGTCTTGACACAAATAAGATCACATAATAGGAATGATTGGTCAGAACAGACTGACATTAATTGGAAGAAGATCTAAAGTTCTGTGCTTTAAAAAAAAAAATCACCCCAAACCCTGAAGTGCTCTCTGTGGGAGACCTGCCTAAAAGCAGTTTATGAAGGGGAAAGAAAGATATTGGGATGTTAATGAATCGTGAGCCCACTGTGCACCCACATGAAGTGTGTTGGCCAGCAGTGATAATAAAGCCCTGGCTGCACTTTAAAAGGAAGGCTTCTAAAAATCAAGTGGTAACAGCTCAGCTGTGAACTGGGCTGGTCCATGCCTATTGTGTGGATGGGGTTGAGTTGTGCCTATATCTTCAGTAGGAGATGAGAATGTGACCAAGATTGACTCATCTCATTCTGGGAATAGAAGAAGATTAGGATAAAGTATACTTGTTTAGAATAAAAATAACTTTTAAAAGAAACTTGTTGGTGGCTAAGCTAATAAGAACCGTTTTTGGTGGATAAGGGATCATATGACTCTACAGGACAAAACCAGGACTGGTGGGTGGAGGATACCAGCTATCTGCTTCATGATGATCTATTTTATAAACCAATATACAATCAGCACACCTGTTGAAACTGGCAAACTGACATCTGGGAAAGATATTTATTTCTAAGCAAAGACGTCACCTTAAGCAGATTTTTTGGTATTAGCTTATTATGTCTTTGTGAAGATTCCAAAACAAATTGATACACTAAGCTATTTTTTTTCCTTTGCACATGATGACATTTATTAGTAGTGAACTGAGTTCACTTTCTGTGGGGTGTATTTTAACTTATGTGCTGTATGGTCATAGCTTAATTTATATATTACAACAAAATCCTCTTTCATGTTACATAGGTTTCTTGTTGAACCTTTAACCTTTAAGAGACCTTTACATTTATAGTTCTTGTTGGCATTGAATTTGAAGTCTTATACTTTTCAGGAATCTCTGGCACAAAATTGTGCTAAGTAATTAAACATATGAAGTATACCCTAAAAAAAAAGTAAAGCACAATGCCCTGACAGGCTATACTTGGATAATACCACTTGCTGTATTAAAAATAGATGGTGTTCTGTCTATGATCAGTATTAGAATATGATGCATGTGTTGTTTTCCTGACTTAATTTGAATACTTTGAAAGAGCTTTAAAATTCCTAGTTTCTCTTTCTAATTTCTTCCATTTTCTCTCTGTATAAGCCAGTATATTTTTCCCTTGGGAACACAGTCTAATTATTTGTTCATAGGGGTGGTATTTCTTCATCTAAGCTTTGTTGAATGCTGAGAGGCCTGTGTCAAAGAGAAAAGGTTCATTCTACCTGCCTGTGAGTTCAGTATTTACATTTATTGAACTTTGGTTCTGCTGACTGTCCACTGAAAACAATCACTTAACTCTTTTTTTTGCTCTCATCCACCTAGACGACTTGCCCCTGTGTTGATGTTCTAGTCCCCTAGAACTTAACACGGTTTGAATACTTTCTTGACAGGTTCTTTTTTGTTATTTTCCTCCTGAGGCCTGATGGGTGACACTTTCACCACGGGATTTGTATTTGAGGTGCCAGTCAGGGAAGGAAAGGATATGTAGACTTAGTCTGGTTGTGCTTGACCAACACTGCTTTTAACCTCCTCTTGGTCATCCCTTGGGTCATCTCTCGGACCTCCTATATGTGCTTTCCCATTCCCCTTCTCTCTCTGGCTCCTCCACCAGCTCTTCCCTGAGACAGTCCACTCTTGAGTCCAGCTTCCTTGAGTGAGCAAGTGTGTAAGGCCTGGAACCTTTAGTTAGCTGTTATCTTGCTTTCGTTTGTACTGAGAGGTGTTTTCTATTGGATTTTGACATCTTCCTTCTCTTGTAGATCATCATTTGGTTTCAGGAAACAGGAGAGCTTGACAGAGCAACCGTCCCCTGAATCTGGGCTCAGGAAGAGACCCTGGACTGAGCTGGTGCTCAGCTTCACTGGCCTTGCTCTGTTCCCTGCCTGTGAATTGAGCTTTGTCCTTCCTGCCCCTCCTGACAATTCAGTTGCCTCCTTATCTCCTGTCGCTGCCTGGGCTTGTTATTCCTGTTTCTGTCCAAATCTCAATCTCCATGTTTGACTCTAGTCTAATCATCTGACCTTGACCCCAACCTTGGAGATGGCTAGGTCTGGCTATTCTGAAACTTGGGGTAGCACTTTGATCCCTGAGCAGGGGGTGTTCTTTATAGCAGGGACTCTCTTGTTTCTAAGTTTGCTGTGTTTTAGAATGTCTCTGAATAAGTGGGTCCTGTCACAGTGTTTGCTAGGGCAAGATACCGAAGCTTTTTTTTGTGAGTTCATTTTGGGTACGACATGTTTTTGTTATTTCCTTTCTATCATGATGTCAAGAATTATAGGCACGTGCTAGAGAAAAGCTGGCTGTTAAACAGCCATAAATGAAGGGAAGCCTAACTCATGTATTCACTGTTCAAATATTTGTTTGAATATTTACAATCACTGTTTCTTACTCGGTTCTTGTTTCTTGCTTAAGTTTCCTTTATTCTTACAAAAGTCCTGTCTCTGTGTAGTATAAAAGGATGGCTATTTTTGGTTTGTATGAGTTTTGACTCCTGAGAGCATTTAAAGTTATATTCACTTTTTTTCTTCTGAATAAGTAATTCTAACATCTCTATTCTTTTCCTTAGTTTTCAGGTCTCAATTTAAAAAATTTCTTAAGTCCACATGTTGCTGAGATACAGGACATGCTGACCCCGTGTATATGGAAATAACCCTAAGGAGGATTATCATTTTAGCAACAGGTTGCCCAATGAGTGAAAGAAATGAGGAACTGACTTTGTTCTTTTGTGTGGTTGGTTAGATCTTTGCGGTCTTTACATTTTAGTTGATTCTTGTACTTGCTTTTTAGATAACTGTATGCTGTCAGGATGCTGAGCTGTCTTTTTTTGACTGCCTTTTAAACTCTCATTTTCCTCTCACATCTTTGGAGCCAATAATTTCTGCTTAGCTGTTTTAAATCCCAAATTTTCAATTCTTCAAGTATTTCAATGAAGTGACACAAATACATTAAGATAGGTTGGAGAAAATAACCCAGAGCTTATATATTATATTAATAATGTAAATCAATATTATAATTATTATACTATGGTTATATTGCTATTATAGATCATATGATTATGTATTATATACTACATTTAATTTTCTTTTGTATGTTCCACATCATGGAACAAAATAGTTCTCTGTGCTGAGTTGTGATTTCATCTTGTTGCCACTTGAGGGCACATTAGACGCTGGTGAATACTCTGAGGCTGAATTGAAGGTTTGGCAGAAGGGTCCCCTTGTTGCTGAGGTACAGGACATGCTGTTAGAGTTTCTAGGTGGGTCCTTGGTCATAAGATGATGGCTCCTCTGCTTAGCTAGTGGTGTAGGTCGCCATCATTGTAACAGTGGAGTCATTTACATCCCTATTGTGCTTCTGTTTTTTGTAGAAATGAAACCACTTTGGTTTCACATGATTGCTGTAGACTGAGAAGGTGCAACCAGAATTACCATACATGAAAAGGTCTTTTAAGTCTTAGATAGGAACACACAGCTTCCTGTATGACTGTATTTATAACTGTTAAACAAGTTCAATGTAGGATGCTGGAGGATTCAGTTATTTTTTAATGAACTTTTGACCAAAAAGTGAACTTTTTTTTTTTTTTTCCCTAAATTTTTATAGCAGCCTAATTATATGATTTTTCTCCCGACACACCCAGGGATGTTGGGAGAGTCTAATTTCCCATGGCCACCAGTCACCAGTGTGTCTCAGCTTGCCTTTCAAACTGCAGATTTTATTGATAAGTAGAGGGAAACCAAATAAATACTCCAGGAACCAAGGAAAAAGAAAGAAATCATCCTGATAGTAGTTTAGAGGTCATTCTTTCAAAAATAAGGTAGTCAAAAAGAAAAAGAATAAAGCAACCCCAGCTCCTTTAGCTCCTGCTGTTTATTCCCTGTTGTCTTTTTTGTTTCTTTAAATCTTACTGAATTCATTAGGCAGTTAAACTAAATACTGTTGTTTCTTTGCTTGTTAAAATTTTGAGTGTATGTGTTAATATTGTTTTAACAAAAATATTTTTTCCACCTTTTTAGTGAATTTTTTCAGGAATTAGAGATTAGGCTTTATTTTCCTAGTTAGGAAAGGAGCAGGTTTTGATTTTACCCAAGACTACCTCCCTTGCCTGGGAGTGCCTTCCTGAGCAGTGTACTAGGGAGTGGTGGGAAGGCTGCCAGTGAGCCCAGGTTTCAGGAAAGATGAAGTATGGGTGCTATCTTAGCTCATCCTTACAGTTGCTGAGGAATATGCCTGGCTGTGGTTGGTGTCATGCAGGCAGGACTCTGCCGGTGTATGTCAGCCAAAAGCACTGTTCTCTTTGGTAGTCCGCTGCATGGTAGTACTTCCTAAGTTCCTGACTTAAATATTTAGGTCCTCCAGCCTACACCCACATGACAGACTTGCAGGAATTAATTCTGGAAAAAAAGGTTTTATAGGCTTCATGATTTCTTCCAGCTTGAATCAAGTGATGGATTTTTCTTGGAAGATTAACACCTCTTTATCTCTCTTGTTTCTTGCTATTCTAGTTACCTGAAAAACTGATACACAAATACAGCTGGATCAAGCAGTGGAAACTTGGGCTGAAATTTGATGGGAAGAGCGAGGACCTGGTTGAAAAAATTAAGGAATCCCTCACCTTGCTAAGGAAGAAGGTTTGGATAGTGTGATTTCCTGCCTCTGACTAGTGTAGAGCTCTTACTCCTGATTTCCCCAGCATACTAGTTCTTAGTCTTTATTCAGTGGGTCATCAGATGCTCTTGGCTGAGCAGGTTACACTGGTGCACACCTGTAGTCTCAGCTACTCAGAAGGCCAAGGCAGGAGGATTGCTTGAACCCAAGAGCTGGAGCCCGGTCAGGACAACATAGCAAGACTCTTGTCTCAAGCAACCCTTGGCCGATTTATTTATTTTTATTTTAGTTTATAAAGAAAATAATTTTATTTTGGAAAGAAAAGAATTTTATTTTGGCTCAAGACTCTAGAGGCTGGAATTGGCTAGTTTTTAGATGATTTTTTTTTTTTTAAGAACAAGTTTTTTGGAACAATATATAATAAAAAAGATGCAGAATACATAGAACATGACACCACTCATTTGCATTTTAAAATGCATTTTAAAACCACAATGATACCATATGATATATCCAAGTATACATTACTTTTTTTAGCTCTTTATGAATTGAATATATACATTTTAAATTTTGATGTCAGCTACTCTTTCAAAAAGGCCCTCTAATTAATTAACATGCCTTTGATGATAGTGCCCATTTCCACACACACTTTACTCTTTACAAATATTGTTCCAGAAACTTGTCTTTATTGTTGCATGAATAGCTGTCTTTCACTTTTACATTGTATCCATGATAAGAATAAACTAATCCAATGGGGAAAAAAAAAGAATAAAAGATTTTTTATTCTATCAATATGCTTTTCTACAATTCATATAGTTTGATATATAGGGGCGTTATTATCTATATAACTACTTAGAATTTTTTTTTTAAATTTATTCTTTTAGATATACATGACAGAGTGTGTTTTGACTTTATACATACATGGAGTATGACTTATTCTCATTAGGATCCTATTCTTGCAATTGTACTTGGGGTGGAGTTTCACTGGTTGTGTATTCATATATGAACATAGGAAAGTTATGTCTGATTCATTCTACTGTCTTTCCTATCCTGTTCTCCCTCCCTTGTCTTCATTCCCCTTTGTTTAACCCAATGGATTTCTATTCTTCCCTCCTGTACCCTTAGTGTGTGTTAGCATCTATATATCATATAGAACATTTGGTCTTTGGTTTTTTGGCATTGGCTTATTTCACTTAGCATAAAGTCTCCAGTTCCATCCATTTCCTGGCAAATTCCATCATTTCATTCTTATTTATGGCTGAGTAATATTCCATTGTGTATATATACCTAATTTTCTGTTATATCCATTCATATATACCTCCTTTCATCTGTTGAAGATCACCCAGGTTGGTTCCATAGCTTAGCTATTGTGAATTGAGTTTCTATGAACATTGATGTGGCTCTATCACTGTAATATGCTGATTTTAAGTCTTTTGGATATATACTGAAGAGTGAGATAACTGAGTGAAATGGTGGTTCTATTTCAGATTTTCTAAGGAATCTCCATGCTGCTTTCCATAGTGGTTGCACCAATTTGCAGTCCCACCAGCAATGTATGATTGGATCTTTTTCCGCATATCCTTGCCAACATTTATTGTTACTTTTATTCTTGATAATTGCCATTCTGACTGGAGTAAGATGGAATCTCAAATTTTTAAGTGAATGCAAACTGTTCCCATGAGGTCTTTGGTAAAATGGAGGAATATCACCATTATCTATTCTTGGTTGAGATGTTGTATGCTAGTGTATCTATAACAATATGTTTAACTTTCTTAAAGGTAAACTTTAACAAATATAATCTTTGTTCTAATTCATATTTATAAGTTTCAGAGATACGATTTAGTTCATATTTCTTATATAGCAATAAAACTAACTCAGGCTTATTAAGTTCTTCCCAGTTATGGTTTAATTTTCTATCCCTATATCTTAAATACTTACTTTGTTTCCAGTGACTTCTCAATAAGGAGATTTCGTAACTAATTGTTTGAAAAGTGTCCTAAGAATTTGTCTGAGACAATTCTGGGAGAACTTGGTCTGTGCTTCCTGGTGTTTTAAACTTTGTGTGTAAAATTCTCCCTGTGATTTTGCTCTCTCCTCTGAGTTAGATGTCCTGCGTGTATGTGGGCCTGCATTGACTTCTCAGTTGCTTGCTTTGAGCAACTTGGAGTTCCCTTCCTAGGTACAGTGAGCTTAGGGCCCATCAGTTGTTCCAGGCTTTGTTGGTGGAAGGAGGGGTCAGGTAAAGGGAAGTTAGAAAGAGGTTCTTCCTAGCATCACCTCAAGTGGTGATCTGTTCACTCAAATTTAGTCTCTCTGCCCTTGTTCAACTTTGAAATCCCCGAGAGACACCCTATTTCTTCCTTTGCACCTAGTTCTTTAGCAGCAAGCCTGATACATAATAGACATTTGGTTAATGCTTTTTTGATGAATAAACTGGGGCCCTGACTTTCTCAAACTTAGTTTTTAATACAAAGATAAGAAATGTTTACTGGAAAATACACTGTCAAAGGAAGTTTCATCTTCCACTGTAAAGAAGTGGGAGAGAGAAAGGAAGAGGGGGTCTGTTCTCATTACCTGTTGGAGTGGAACTTAGGATTTTTGGGGACTGGATGCCTGTGCCTTCTCACTCCTGGGTCAGTGGAAGGTTGAGGGCAGGGCTGTGGCCCTGTGTGAGTGAGTGGGAGAGTGCTTAGCAGAGCTATAGGTAATAAGAAGGATCTGGTGAAATGCTATTTTTGCTTTATTGGGTATGACTACTATAATTAAAGTCTCATATTTGGGACTGTTTAGGTGAGGCCAGTTTGTAATCACATTAAACTTATTCATTAATTATCTCAGCCAGTATTACTAACTGTCCTCTGTGCCATGACGTACACTTAAGTTTCACAGGTTGTTTTATTGCTACAACCTTGACGTTGGTGTTGTTATGATCAGCCTTGTTTTATAGATGAAGAAACTAAGGCCCAGAGTTTGGTTAAACACTCTGCAAAAGCCATCAGTTGTTGGTGGTGAGGCCTTGTTTCCATCCTGATTCTCTGACTCCAGGTCCATGCTCTGGACTGTCAACTTGGTCTACTTATAGAAAATATGAAATGTGGACAACATGTTCTAGCTTTTAACCTAAATATTTGGGGGGTTCTGTGTAGTCATTACCATTAAAATTTGTTGAATTTAAAATCTCTGATGGCTTTTGAAAGGTACACAAATTATTGATTATTCATAAGGACTGTTATTTATATTGTCATCTCTTTACTCATTCACTATAACTTAAAAGCACATATATTTATAGGGTTTTCTTGTTCACTTAAGAAGTTTGCCTATACTAACTGAATACCTGATACTCTGCTTTATTCTTAATCAGGAGTCAGAATGGATTTATTTAATATGAAGCTCATGTATATTTTTAATAGGTTAGAGGGTAAGTTTAATAAGCTAAAGATCCCACAGTGTTCTTTGCCATCTTCCATTTTAGATGGTAGGTTTTGTTTCTGGGTGGTCACTGTTTGTGAAAACCCCTCAAAGGATAGTTTTAGCTCCCTACTACATACAGCTCCACACACAGGCCTCACATAGACACGTTAGCTTTTTCATTAGTATCTCTGCCTGCTTAGTTCAGTCTCATCCCCTGGGATGTTAGAGGAGTCAGAAGTTCATCCCGTGGCCCAGGGCTTCTCCTTATCGCATTGTGCTTCTGTTTTAGATTAGTGGGGGAAAGGCTGAACTAGGAATTGTGTGATCTTAAGAGTACCATTGATTGATCTGAAACTTAAAAACATTGTGGCCACGTTAGGATGATTTATAGTCCCTACTTTTGAACATAATTCTGTATTCATAATATGGAAGTATACCAGGGATTTTTAGAACAAAAATTCTAACTATTACATAACTTCCTTATTGTAGTGGGCAAGCCTGGCTGAAATGAGAACTGCTGAAGCAAGGCAAATGGCTTGTGATGAACTGTTCACAAATGAAGAAGAGGAATACTGCCTCTATGAAGCTGTAAAATTTCTAATGCTAAACAGAGCCATTGAACTATATGATGATAAAGAGAAGGGAAAGGAAGTACCATTTTTCTCTGTGCTCCTGTTTGCTCGGGACACATCGAATGACCCTGGACAGCTACTGAGGAACCACTTAAACCAGGTGGGACACACTGGTGGCCTTGAACAGGTGAGTTGTGTCTTTGGAGTGCATTACCTCAAAACACAGCAGTGTTAACTGTCAAACATCTCAGTGTTTGTAGGTCAGGAATTCAAGAGCAGCTTAGGTGGTTGTGGCCGATGGTCACATAGATTTAATCATGTTATTTGGGGCTACAGTCTTCCTTGGGGTTGAAGGATCTACTTCCATGGCCTATTGACATGGCTCTTGACAGAGGTCCTTAGTCCTTACAGTTAATAGGAGGGCATGGTTCCTTACCATAGGGCTTCTTGGGTGTCCTCATGACATGGCAGCTGACTTTTCTCAGAGTGGTCCATGTAGAGAGCAGGGAAGTCGCACACAGGCACTTATACCATATTCTGTTTGTTAAAAGCCAGACACTAAATCCATTCAACTCTCAAGAGGAGGGGAATTGAGCTCTCCCCTTTCAAGTGAGGTATGTCGAAGATGTGTAGTCCTGTTTTATAATCATTAACAGTATTATTCTGGACTTTTCTTCTGGGGGTGATGGATATAATTAGTACCCTTGGCTCTGGAAGGGTAGACATAAATGAAGCATGCGGAGGAGCCATTTGAAGGTCTTGTTTACATAGATGCCCATAACAGTCTTGTTCTTAAAGCAATAGTTGAGTCACCACACCTTGAATAGCCAACCCTTGAGGCTGCCCCATTCTCCTTACACGGCAGACTCTCATACCACTTTTTCCTAAAAGGCCCGAGTGCCAGGACAGATATTGCAAGGAGTAGAGAGCTGAGTTGAGTTCCCGCTGAGTCATCCTGGTGGGTGGAAATCTGTTCCATTGTTTTTCTCAGTGTGTCACTGCTGGGCCAGGCAGGATGATTAATATAAAAAAATTATCTGTATGCATAATGTGGGTTGCTCACATCTCCTGAACCATTGCTAATACTTTGTAATAAAAAGCCTAGGAGAGTGTGGTTTGCATGTCAGACTGAAGTTAGTCCTTTATGAGATCCTACAAGGTCTTCTACAGTAGTGTCCATTCTTCTTTTAATAGCAGCTTTCTTGAAATGTAATTTACATATCAACAAGTTCACCCTTTTAAAGTTTTGAAACTACCACTTGCAGTCTCATTTTAGATCAATTTACCACCCCCAAAAGACACCTCAAACCCATTAGCAGTTACTCTCCCTTCCGTGTAGCTCTGGGAAACCACAAAGCTACTTTCTGTCTCTAGTTTGCCTATTCTGGGCATTTCATATAAATGGAGTCATATACTGTGTGGTATTTTGTGACTGGCTTCCTTTGTTTAGCATAATGTGTTTAAGATTCATCCACATACTGCTGCATGGATCAGTACTTCATTCCTTTTTATTGAAAAGCAACATCTCATTGTATGAAAGTATTGTATTTATTCATTTGTTAGTTTTGACAGGTATTTGGGTTGCCTCCACCTTCTAGCTACTAAGAATAATCCTGCGGTGGACATTCAGGGATGATTTTTTGTGTGGACACATGTTCTCTTGATTATATGCCTAGGAGTAGAATTGCTATGGCAGATGGTGATCCTTTGTTGAACATTTTGAGGAATAGCCATACTGCATTTTAAAATAGTTTGTGCCAGTTTACACTCCCACCAGCCATGAATTAGTGTCCCATTTCTCCACATCTTTACCAGCATTTTGACTATCTTTTTTTAAAAATTGGGATGAAGTTCACATAACATAAATAATCATTAAAGTATGCAACTCATTGACATTTAGTACATTTATGGTGCTATGGGATCACCATCTCTATGAAGTCCAAAATATTTTCATCACCCCCAAAGAAAACCCTGTATTCTTTAAGGAGTCACTCCCCATTGTCATCTGGCTTTTTAAAATATTTTTTTTATTACTTTTTAAGTTGTAGGTGAACACAATACCTTTATTTATTTTATATTTATGTGATGCTGAGGATCAAACCTCTCACATGCTAGGCAAGTGCTCCACCACTGAGCTACAACCCCAGCCCCTGGCTTTTTTATTATAGCCATTCTAGTAGGTGTGAAGTGGTATCTCATTGTGGTTTTGATTTACTTTTCTCTAATTACATAGGATGTTGAACATCTTTTCATGTGCTAATTTGGCCACTTGCATGTCTTCTTTGGAGACATGTCTTTGCAATCCTTTGCCCAGTATTTAAGCTAGAGATATATGTTTTTTAATATCTTTGTTTTATTTATTTATTTATTATTTTTTATGTGGTGCTGAGGATCGAACCCAGTGCCTGTCACACGTGAGGCAAGCGCTTAACCACTGAGCTACAACCCCAGCCTCTGGTTATATTTTTTTTAATTGTTGAGTTGTAAATATTCTTTATATATTCTGGGTATTACCAAATGTAGGATCCATTCTTGACTATCTCCTTTTTTTTTTTTAAAATAAGAATTGGGACTGAGTCCAAAGGAGAGGAGGAAAAAGGTTGCAGTATAAGCCACTACTGTGTGCGTGGTCAGGGTAATAGATGGAACATGGTGTTAGACCCTGTCTTTTGGTGTGGCTTCCTTAAGAATCCCATTTGCTCTTTCTCCACAGGTTGAAATGTTCCTTCTTGCCTATGCTGTGCGCCATACCATCCAGGTGTACCGGCTCTCCAAGTACAACACTGAAGAGTTCATTACAGTCTATCCCACTGACCCACCCAAGGACTGGCCGGTGGTCACCCTCATCGCTGAGGATGATCGGCACTATAATATCCCTGTCAGAGTATGTGAGGAGACAAGTCTGTGAGAGACTCACCTGCCTGGACAGTCTGAGGACATGGCAAAAGTGCACAGGCAGCTCCTCAGCTTGGGCCTCAGGCCTCTGCTGGTCTCTAAGAACAGTCTGTGAGAACTCTTGGGCCCCTGGGAGCCAAGTTGGACTGGGGTGTTCTGAAGACTAACTTTTCATAATAAGAACAACTGTTTTCCCTTATCTGGGACCCAGTGTGTTTCATTGGGACCTTCAGAGCATACCTTTGGAAAGTGCATACTGCATTTCCATAAAGCAAATACTTTTGTATTAGAGGAAACTCATTTTGAAGAATATATTCATGTCTCAAGTCAAAATTCTCTCTATTGGTAAACTGGCTTTTAAGTTTTAAGATGGTAATTTTTCTTTGGTGGAAATGGGTGTCTGTAGTGATCATTCTATGCAGTCTGCTTAAGTGGTATAATTCTGGGAGATTTGTTAATGGCACAGTCATACCATGCTCTGATATTCTCATCTTCTTATGGAGGGATGAGCAGTGATTCGGACTTAAATATTAAGTAATGCTATTTTAAGCAGATGGTCTCATAGAAGATGAAGAATTGGGCCCCAGAGTGGGTTGTTTGGAGGCTTTTTTCAAGTTTGGAGGAGATACAGTGGAATCTAGTGACTGTTACAGGTGTCTACTGTCCCCAATGTTCCAGAGTCTGGGACATGGTACAGGTCCCTATTAGCATGGATGAATGTTTCTTGTAGTTGTACTCCAGTGTCAGGGGCTGTTAATTATTCTAAAGTTCCAAAGAGTCACAGTTTTATAGTTAAAACAGAGTTTATATCCACCCATGTGTTTAGAGGAGGAATCTAAGGTCATATGATTTCAGTCACTGCTCAGAGTTCAGAGGTGGGGACAAGCTGGGCTCCTGATCTTCTCTTGCCCTTTTCATGCGGTGTTTAAGGGTAGCATCATTGCCAGATCCATGTAATGGGCTGATACCCTGTCTGCTGGCAGGGGATAAATAACAGCAACCAACCTGAGATTTTTCCTGAGCAAGCTAAAGCAACAGTGTGCAGAAGGGTGGCTGAGCCACATGTGTCCTTGATTTGGCTTGGGCGGCCTGAGAAAAGCAGTGATGACCTGCTGGGCACAGGCGAGGTGTTTACTGGAGCTGCTAAAGGGGACAGTGCTGCTGAGCTGGTCTGCAAGGGATGTGTACTGTGGTCATTGTTCATGTGAACCAGACACATCACTCTTCAGTATTCTTTTGGCGGCACCTGAATTGGCTCAACATTTGTGGAGTTGATGTTTCCTTCAAGTACTGAGCTTATTTTATAATAATTAAAATCTATTTGATCTAATTTAATATGATTAATAAGTTTTCTACACTTTTGAAAATCTGTGTCTCTGTTAATAAAAAATTAAGTCTTAAGAAAGCTCAGCCTGCACAAAGTATTCAGACTGTTACATTAGTACTTTTCCTAGTACCTACTTGGTGATATTCACCACATTTTACTAGACATGTATCAATTAGCATTTTGAATCAGATTCTATAAATGTATGTGAATACTTTAGAGAGGCTTTGTGCTTTTCACAGTGAAATACATTGGTATCTTAAATAAGGAGGTACCTAGAAGCCCAATTAAAGTAATAATAATGACTTCTTGGCTTTGACAAGTTTAGTATTTGTAACTATATGATTCATTTATGAGCATTCTTTTAGAGCACAGCTTGAAATATTTAGATTATACTTGGCAATAGGGATTTGTGCCCTTGGGATATATTGAATCTGACCATTGGTTCATATACATTATTGAATGTGAATAATACGATATTAAACCTCATGATTAATGCATTTTGAAAATGTTCTAATCTTAGTGAACTTGAACTGGACTTCTGGGAAATTTGCTTACATTTTATATTTAAATCTACCGAAATTGTAGTTTTAGCCACCACATTGGTAAAAATTTGAAAGGGGGTGTTTATTTTATGTTGCTTATTGTCCAAAGACCTTCTCACACTGTGCTATCAGACTGTCATCCAGGTTTAGCAGAATAACATCAGAAAAGAAAGCTTTCAAAGAAATAGTACTTAATGAAATAGAAATGATTAATTCATTTAAAAATTCTTTTTTTTTTTTTTGGTTGCAGTATTCAATTTTAGTTGTTCAGAGTCTTAATTTCATTTTTCATTTTTGGTCTTGAGCTGGTGGAGTGACATCAGTAGTATAGAAATTGAATTAAGATAAAAATGGATTCAAGAGAATAATCTACTTAGAGGGATCTTTAAAATGGTATGGTGTTCTAGAAGAGGGCAAGGTAGTGAGAACTACACTATGCTTAATTTCTAAGAGTTTATATTGCAAGAGTTCAGAAGTTTAGAGATATTGGCAGAACTTAAACCTTTGAGCTCCTTTAAGGCACATTTAAACCTAAAAGCATTTCTCTGTGTCATGTCCCATGGAATTAACATTGCTTTTCCAGAACATTTTCAGATTCTCCTCCTCGCCTGAACTGCTGGATGTACAGCATCCACTCTGCACTAGGATCAGTGATGGCGGTATCAGGGAATAGGCAGCAGCTATGGTCTCCAGCTTGTGATTTGAGCATATGTGGGGTTTGGTCTGCAGTGTCACCATTCCTTCTCTCTAGAATGAAAATGTTTTAAGTGCACACAGAGCAGGATTAATCCTGTTTTCTTTATATAGCCACTTACACTTTTATTACACTATAATAAATTCTCTTAATGTCTACTAAGATGTTTTCCTTGGTTAAGGAGAGCAAATATTGGTTTTGAATCCTTTTGTTCCACTCCCCTCTAGTTTTAGAGTTTATCAGGTAAAATCTCAGGCCAAATGAATTGATAACACCTCTTTTGGAAGAAGCATTTGTAGATTTTTATGGGCTTCATCTTTTTTTCCCTCCTCCTTCCTTTGGTTAGAGGCTCTGTGTTGTTCTTCCTGTCCTTTCCCTCATCCCAAGGTGCTGTTCTTAGAGTTAGTAGTTTACTTTTATGAAGACTTTCCAGTTAATGACTGAGGTGCAGTGTCATCTTTAATGATATAGTGCCCCTGCCATCTGAACATATACATAGGACTTATAGAGCTGGGTCTTCTTTTGATATTAAAACATGGCTTGGTCATTTTTTAATGTGTTTTTCTTAAGCAGTACTTACAGATTCTCCCCTTTGAAGACCAGAAAATATTTTCAGAAGCATAAACCAGGGGGGAATCACTTCTGGTATGCACAAAAAATGCCTTAATTTTAAGATCTGTGACTGCTAGAAAAATAAATAGAAAGCCTTCACTGCATGTGAATCTGAAATGTGGGTGAAACACATAAAATCCCCAAATAGTATAACAAGGCAGGGTAAAATATCAAGTAATTTAAAAATGGCCTAAGGAGAGACTGGGGTTGTGGCTCAGTGCTTGCCTAGCACATGTGAAACTGGGTTCCATTCTCAGCAGCACATAAAAATAAATAAATAAATAAATAAATAGTTTTTTTTTTTTTAAATGAATGCTATAAAAAATATGGCCTAAGGAACTATGAAGAGAAGTGAGGATGAGGAACTGATTTTAGAATAACCTTTAAAGTGTCATAATAACAGAGCAGTAAATACACAGAAGGTAAGCTCTTCTGTGCTTAGTTTTTTTTTCTTTTTAATTGGTTCTTTTTAGTTGTGCTTAGGTTTTTTAAAAAAATATTTTTAGTTGTAAGTGGATACGATATCTTTATTTTATTTCTATATAGTGCTGAGAATCGAACCCAGGGCCTTACATGTGCCAGGCAAGCACTCTACCACTGAGCCACACCCCAGCCCTGTGCTTAGGTTTTAAAAAGAGAAGAATCTGAATGAATGGGAGGACTTATGTGCATGGATTCCACAAATTCATATTTCTAAAATGTAAATCCTCTATTTAAGAGAAGTATATTCTTTAATGCATAGCTTCTTTGGGAAACATTGTGATCTCTCCTAGGGCGATGGAGAGACCAGGGAGCCCGTACTGATTTGTGCAGTGGTTTAGTGAGGTTGTGGGGAAGGACATAGGCAACTGATTTTATAATATTGATTTAATGGTCTTGTAATTCAGTTTGTAACCTAGAGCCATGAAAAGCATCAAATTCAATTGGCAGATGGTTTGGCCATCTGCTACCCTGGGCTTTTCCTGGAGGTAGTATCCGTAGGAGCCAGGTGGGTTTGGCCATTACCAGAAGAGGTATGTGGGTACCTTTTTTTGAGTGTACCCATGCTGGCCTACAGTCACTGCATTCCTTTCTTTAGGTGGGTGGTAGCCCCATAGCTTGGGACGTAGTAGTATTTTGAGAGGGTGGATGTGAGCTGTCCCATGTGATTCTGTATTTTTTTTTCTAAACAATAAATTGAAATTTATAATTGGGAATGGTAAAATGAATTGGTATATATATTGAAGATGTGGCGGCCATTAAGTCTGGAAACATGTTAATCATTCTGAAACATCATATCAGTAGGCCATTTCTTATGTCTCTCTTCCCAGGCCTCCTTATAGCATTTTGAATGCCCAGAGGCTTCAGTAACATTAATGGAGGAGGACACTGATTGGAGTTTAATTTCAGTTAAGCCCATTGATTTCTTAGGTGTAATTTTGGGTCAGGAATGAAATTGTCAAATATGGGTCAATACAAAGAAAGAACACTGGATTCAAAATATCCACAGTCTTGGTAATTATATTCCTAGTAACCAAGGGTGCTTGAGCTTAATTATAACTTCAAAATAATTTTTTATACTCAGTTTTAGGAACTTTCACTTATATATTGAAAAATGCCTTGATTTATATTCACATAAGTGGTGCTAAAAATACAGCACCTTTTAGAAGAACCTCAGGAATCCGTAGTGATGGTGATGACTTGGGAGTATTTCAGTGTGGGAACACAGCCAGAATTAATGTATTTAGGGATATCTCTTCTCATTTTTATTATGTTTGTAATACTCTTTTGGTGTTGTTACCTTGCTTTTGGCAGTTTCTAACTTTCTATATTATGGATTTGAGGAGGATAACAGCCCAATGTTGTAACTTCTGCCAGAGTTGATGGTGTTTTTCTTCCATGGGGGAGTCTGCCGTGAAGGGAGAGCACCCGTGGGAACCCAACCCTGCTAGCCTCTGGCTTGTTTAACATCATCTCCTCTGTTACACTGTAAGATGTTTGAACTTGCCAAAAATTTCTCCTGTTTTGAAAAACATGCCCCTGAGGTTCTGGACAGTTTGAGGCCTTACTTCTCATTGGCAAACTCATCCAGATTCCTGTCTCATAGGGCAAGAGTTTCCTGTCACCTGTTGAGTCTCTCGTCTTCACTGTAGGGGCCACTCCTACTCTTGGGTTTTGCTGTTGATCCCCTTTAGCAAACCTGGATGCTGAGGATTGTAAAAATAAATAACTAAAAATAAACTCAAAAAATAAAACTCAGAAGCCTGGCTGTGTCACTGTAGTTAAATGCCTGCTTTTGAGGACTTTGGCAGACTGTGATCTAATGCTTTAACTTTCCAGCGCCCCCGGGCAGGCCTGTGGTGTCCAGGTCAGTGACTCTTGATCTCACTCCTGCGCTTTGGAGTGCAGGAATCAATTCTGGGGAGGCCTTGTTGGGCAGAGATAGAGTTAGATGAGGTGAAGTGATTAGCACATACCTTCAAAAACGGTGCACAGTTTTGGACTTAGACCTGGATTAATGAGCAGTCCCACTACTCGATTCTAGCAGGGTTGAGTGAGGGGGAATTACTGAACCTCCTTAAATCTCAATGTCTTCAACTCTACCTTGCATAGTCGTCTTATCTTGGATGCTCGTGTGGATTAAGTGAGATGCCAGCATGTAATAGATTTAGAGCCTGCAAGAGCGGGGCTGCAGCCCAAATCCTGACCCAGCCTTGCTTGTGTTTGCTGAGCGAGGCCAGCTGTAACCATTTCAGCTACTGGAAATGTGATAGCAAGAACTTATATGTGTTGTATATGAGTTAGGATGTCACTGAAAGAAGTTAATAATCTAAAAATGGGGCCAGATGTTCACAGGCATTGCAAGAGCAGAGGATGAAGGATGAGCCTGCAGAGTTGTGCCTTCCTCATAGTCAAATGCTGAGGGGCTGGGGATGGGGCTCAGTGGCGGAGCACCTACCTAGCATGTGTGAGGCACTGGGTTCGATTCTCAGCACCGCATATAAATAAATGAATTCAATAAAATCCATCAACAACGAAAAAATATATTAAAAAAAAAAAAAAACAGAACTGCTGAGTCTGAAGTACTGCAAAATGGTGCTGGACTTCTGAAGGACCTACTGGCTAGGGATTGGGCATCCTCTAGAAAACAGTGTTAAGCTGGTAATGGGCAGCAACAACA